GATCTTGACCTGCGCACCCCGCCCGACATGTCACTTGCCCTCGCTCCGCCGGGGGGTCCCCACGCCAGCCCTCCCCCAGCCCGGGCCACTGGACAAACGGTGGCCTCACACCTCCCCGGGCTCTCCTCGACGGGCTGGAGGCTGCCCTTGCCTCCCTCGTCCCGCCCCAGCTTCTCTCCCGCGGGGGACTTGAGCTTCCGCGGGCTAAATCACATCTGTCCCCTTTGACATGTGCCGGGGGTCGGCGGTAATTAAGATGAAACGGGATATGTCGGGAGTGAGGGGGTTTGTGCGAGGGCGGCAGAAGGGAGGAGAGCGGGGCTCAGCGCTGCCGCTGCCCCGGGGGAGCCCCCGCACCCAGCCCGGCCCCGACACCCCAGGAAGCGTAAATCCCGGCTGGTGATGGCACACAGAGATAGGGAGACCTCAAGGATCTTTCTGAAGTCCATAAAGGAAAACCACTATTTCCTAGAGGAAAACCCCCTGGCTATCAAAGCCTGGAGGAGGCATCCTTCAACAGCCAACCGGTGCCTGATTCAAACCAGCTGTACCAAAACCACCCCAACTCTCCCAGACACGGTCAGGCCAGCAACGCAGCTCTGTGAAGGGGACAGGCCCCTGGCTCTGCTTTATTATCGCTGAAAGGCAGCGATGGGTTTGGATGCAACAAGGGTCACCTCTCTCATCCAAACACTCATAGAAAATACGGAGCCAGGTGGAGAGCTGAGAGCAGAGCTTTGAGCGAGCCAGCTGGAGAGCCCTGCACATCCAACACAACAGCTCCCAAGCCATTTGTGCCTTCATCAGCATCGTGGCACCTTTGACTGGACATAAACGTTTTGACATGTATCGTGCCAGCCTCAACTGTGGCACTCTTCTTGTGTTTGAGACCCCATCTTTGATGGCCTGAAAATCTCCTCCCTTTTAATTTGTCTCGGACAGTCATATTGTCCTTGTCTGGAGGGCTACTTTGACCTCTTAAATAACAAGTTCCTTTCATGATTATGTACGTGGCTCTAAGACGCAGCCGACTCACTCTGTTTTACCCTCTGGAGACCTCAGCAAGGCCTTTGTCCTGAAATGGACAGCTTTGTGACTGGCTTCAATAAGTCAAGAGCTCTTGTGTTCCTAAGCATTAAAGAGGATTTAAACTTTTTTATATACATATAGGATTAAGTGAACCTCTAGTTCAGTGTCACATCTTTTTTCATTTTTGAAAGAGTTCAATCTCAATCAGACATCTAGGGATTTATTGTCAAGCTTGTCTCACACAATTCCCACATTGTCATTGGTTGTATTGTTTCAAATAATAGTCTTGTTTCATGATTGCACTATGATTTTGGTGTGAGCTTGTGATAACTGTGAAATCATGCTCTGCAGGTAAGCAGCCATTCAAACATACCTAAGAAAATTACATGTGATGGGGAGAAACAACATATCTCATAATTGTTTCTGTTTCTAGGTATTCTGGAAATAACTGCAGTTGATGTTGGGATCGTTGCCATCAAGGGCTTGTTCTCGGGCAGATACCTGGCCATGAACAAGAGGGGAAGACTTTATGCATCAGTAAGTTTTATGTAAGACTGGCATATGCCCGTCATTTCCTTTGCCGAGAACAGGTCCAACGGGGAGCACAGATTTCTTATAAATAAACATTTATAGAGAAAAGAGTCATGTTATAACAGATTCTGTGTGGAATTGTTACAGGCAAGCAATCAGGATATTTTTTAAAAGTGGAAAGAAACTGTGTTCTTATTTTCTTATTGCCTGTACAGCCAAAGACAGAAAAACATATTTGGCAAAGGTATTTCACATGACCAAAGTTCTGGGCAACTGGGTGCACTGATAAAGACCTCAGGAGCCAGCTTTTGTGGTGCAGAACATCCATCTCTACTCAAATTTATCCATATTTAAATTTGATGTGGATCTTGGACACTGACAGAGGGTGTCAGATAAAGAATATTCAGAAGCAATTAAGCATCTCTGTTAGGGGAAAGCAGCCTACTGATGGGAGTTTCTTTGCACAGAGCGTTTGGCTGGGCAGTGAAAAAAATTACAGGTATTACAAGGCAGGACTGTAGCAAGGAAAGGAACTATGAGAAGGTGCAAGAGGATAAAGGTGAAAATGAACACCTTATTCTACTCCTTTTACCTCATTTTTTTTGTCCTGATCTTTGAGGTAAAATCTGGGCTCTACTGATACTAGCGGCTGTCTCGCCTTTTCAGCCCAGCCAGTATTATTTCCCCTCAGTGAATAAAATCCTTCAGCTTAGACTGCTTCGCATTCAGGGACAGACTAAGGTGTGTTTGTCAGTGTGTATAGTGTACACATTATCTACCTACTTGAATTTCTTCCATTGTCTTTGATTACATCTCTAGCAATCTTGTGATCTCTTACTGTTTAACAACCATACGGTGCAGTTTCTCCAGGATTCCTGTGATATGGAAACAGATTTGAAGAGGGTAAAACATGGCTATGTGAATTTGCTTCTTCCATCTAGTCATTATATGGAATTCTGTTGATTTGATCCTCCAGCAATGTGAGTTTTTTCCATGTGAATGCAGCTTAGGTAACACAATCAACTCGGTTGCCTCCCTGGTTTAATGTATTTTTCTCCACCTTTTCAAGAACATTCTCATAGTGTTTATGACCCAGCTTCTGTAACGTGCCTCATGTGATGCACACTGATTAAAGGGCCTGTGTGTAAAGATGATGGTTCTTTACCAGAAGTGCAGAGAAGAAGATAGCAAACAATTTTGGCAAAGAAAAATGCAGCTGAAGTGGAATGAGGACATACTAGGTCTGCTGTGCCAGAGCTAAAGCTGCCTATTTCTGTGCTTCCAGTTAATATTCTGATTTAAATGAGCATCTTTTTTCCATGGAGCTCCTCCATCAGCTCAGAGCCAGTGTCTGCACCAAAGAAATTAATGGGAAGGATGAACTTTCAAGTTCTTTCTCCTCTTTCTCTCTTTCTTTTTCAAAATAGGTATGTTTTTCCTCCAGATGAATTAAGCTGAATTAAAATTAAACTAAAAAAATTCTGAGTAAAAATCCTTTCCTGGAGTAGAGAAAAGCCTAGAGTAGGATAGACCAGGGATTCTCTTTCTCCTGGACTTGCCTTTCTAGTGTAAGGAGCATCAGGCCATCCTGAAGTTTGTTCAGTTGGTATGTGCCAAGGAATACCAGCCACGAAAGGTTTCTGTACAGATAGAAAATATAATTTTTGCTGTTCCAGCTCAAGTTTCAGAGAGGCAGTTTCAGACTTGTGTTTCAGAGCTAGAGGGACAATCCAGGAAAAGCTGTTCCACTCCAGCTTCTTTCACAGAAGAAGCAAAGAATGAGGGCTCAGGTCAGGAGAAACATCCTGGCTTTGCTTGTCCAGAAAAAACTGAGCAATGACTTTACTGTTGTTACTCTGCCAGGAACCTGTGCAAAGCCCCTATTTCAAATCAGACTCACCTCTTTGTGGATACTTATACAGGGAGCATTTTATGAAATGGCATTGGAATAACTCCATTACCCCTTGGGTCACCAGTTTTCCCATGTCAATAAAATGAGTTTGTTGAGTCTGCCGAATTCCTTTATGTTCTTAACAGATTGTGATAATCCTCTAGGTTTATCCTGTGTGATAAACCCTCTACAAACCAGAAGTAAGGCAGACAGCAGGACAAATCTCCCTACATATGGTAGTTGCGTGGGTTCCAGCACCACAGCATATGAAAACCTTGTCCTTGCAAGGAAGGGCACTTCCGTTTTACAGCTGTGAAGCGGAGACATGTGGAGCCTTTTAAAATCTTGTTAAACGCCTATCAGCATTTCTGGTGAGTGAACAGCATTAAAGACATGTTGTTAATGGAGCCTATGACTTTTCTGGCCCCAGCCTGGCTACCTGTGCCCATTCCATGTCCTCCAGAGGACCCCTCCCTAAAGGTCATGGGTAGCGGTTCCTCTCTGCCTTCTGTTAGATACTGAAGTCTTAATCACACAGGTACAGCAAAGAGGATTTTGTAGTTAAGAAAAGATGTACAGTGTGGGAGGTCCTTTAATTACACCACTCTACTGCTCCCAGGGAAGAGGAAGTTGTTCCTTGTGCCAGGCTTTTGCACACTATTTTCTCTCAGTTGAGGACCAGATGAAAAGGGGAAAATTTTGACAGATCATGTAAAATGTGAGCACCCAGGATGGATGTGTATTCTCCCTTACAGCTTGTGATAAAGAAGCAGCCTAGCATTTTTGAGGAACACACTGGTGGGTGGGGTGTGCTTTCATTTTGTTAAGCTGAAGAAAAGAAAGATGTTTCATAAAGGGGGTGTTTACTGCTCAAATATCTCTAATAAACTGGATGTAATAGACTGCAGGTGTATCTAACTACTAATATACTAATGAAAGAACCACATTTTACATTAAAATGCAGGATTTTACCTTTTTAATAGATGTCAAAGTTTCATAGGCTGCAATTAAGTAATCTGTCCAGTTCACGGGCATATTTATATCTGTAAGCACAAAAACATTAAAATTTACAGCTGAACAATCAGCAGAGCTATTCATTCATATTTATGTGCCATTTTCTGTTTTCAAATTGGTTTTTGGGGTGGTTTTTTTTTCTGCCTCTGACCCACGGAGTACGCTCACACTGCTGCCAGCACCTTGCTGCCCAGCAGTTCAGGCTCAGCGCTTCTCTTCTGCTCGCCTTTTGTAGCACCAGTCCAAGTTTTTCTTACCACATACATTGCTGTCCTTATCCTTAAATTGAGTAGAATCTTGCTTAAGACTTTAGTCCAATATTATTGAGGCAGAGGAGAGCTTTTGCCCATAGATTATTTCTTAAACGTTGTCATTTTTGTTTTACAGGAAAATTATAATGCAGAGTGTGAGTTTGTGGAGAGGATCCATGAATTGGGTTATAACACCTACGCGTCCCGTCTCTACCGGACTGTACCTAACAGAGCCGGCACCAAGCGCAAAGCCAGTGCAGAGAGACTCTGGTATGTCTCAATCAATGGGAAAGGACGACCTAGAAGGGGCTTTAAAACTCGCAGGACACAGAAATCATCTCTCTTTCTGCCCAGAGTATTGGATAACAAAGACCATGAAATGGTCCGACTGTTTCACACAAATGTGAGATATCGAGAAAGTCTCCTGAAGCCCCTGAGCAAGAACCAGCGAAGAAGGAGAGGACGCTAACGGGGCGGGGGGGAGCTTGTATGGGGGCTGGAAGTGACTCAGAGTCTTCAAAATACTACTTAAAAAACCTAACGGATTGTATGACAGGCATTAACACGGACATTTTTTAGACACTGTATAATATAACTGACAGTCACATCCCTTACTTTTAGCTATTGTAGAATTAATATCTGTGGTAAAAAAGATATGAGATAAACTAAGGCACATTCAAATGTAAATTAGTTGGATGTAATAATTCTGTCAATGACTTTCACATTTTCCTTTCTAAAAAAAATAATTCATTACTAGTATTTTCATTCTAACTTGCCATAGGGTATTATGTCAGTGACTCTGTCCTCGCAGATCATATGAATATTTTATACTTAACAATCTTGTGTCCACAGAGAAAGCAAAGCACTTTCACGGCTCTTTTGGCAGTTCCTCATAACAGGCTACATTCCTATTTTTATGGAATACAGGAGTTAGAAAACTGGTTTATTTTTTATCTTGCATATATTTATTTTTATTTTATGATCAGCCAGTATCAATTATGCTTTTTCCATGACTGTCCAAGAGAAGTAAAATTGTAAGCTACTTCAAACATTTCAACAGACCTATGCATTACTAGAGTATTTTTGGATTTGTTTAATTGAAAACCCAAGATACCTGACCTTGTCATTCAAATAAATGTTGGAATGCTGGTAAAGTGGCATTTGCATTGGCCAAGCTTTAGCAGTATATACCTGTTTACTAACTGATGATGCCTCTCCTAAAATGGAACCCAAATATGATGTGAAAACTGAGTTTATGGTGTGGACTGAACTTGCAAGATAGAAAACTTCAGCATTGGGGATGAGAATCTTCTTAAAGACTTTTGTTTAGCTAAGTTTTCTACAGGAAGTCCTAGTTCTAGGTCAAATATGTTTTAACTATTGAGGGGGGAGGGGGGGCAGGTGTGGAATAAAAATCACATTGGGCATACAAAAACTGTAGTGACTTGTTAATTTAAGGTGGCTGCTATGTTCTGATTTTGCTTTCTTTTCAAATGCTCGTTATTTTCACAAGGCAGTCCTAAACTGAAAGCTTCAAATCAAGACAGGGTTTAATGATCTCGAGTTTTGGTTCAATACACATAAAATTATGTTTCTATAAATTTTTCTCATCTGATTCTGGAAGTTAACTTTTACAAAGGTGAGTGGAGTCCACATCACAAGTTTAATATTGAGCAAGGGGTTAAGCTTTAAAAATTTCTCTTCACAGCCAGGAGATTATAAAGTAGTACAAAGATTTAGATGTGTTTGACAAGCAAAAATAATGGTCATTTCAATGAGAGTTGACCATGGCTCTTCACTTCCTGATACAGCACAGATGCAGAAAAGAGAGACTGCACTGAAATAAATGTTCAATCTGAATTTAACAAAAGATCTGCAAGATAAATATGACATTATATAGAAGCAGAAAGGTGCAAATCCTATTCCTGGTCACCTTGACAGAAAGACCTTGTGGGCTACTTACTGAATAATGGTATGATCATTTAACACTAGGTAGTGTAAGTCTTCCATTGCTAAGGGTTGAATTCTGTAAAGAGAAGTAAAATGAGTCCATAGAATGAGTTTACTAAGCCTGGTAGTTACAGACCTAGCACTGCTTACACCCCTATAAAGTTAAAAACAGAAAGGTGTCTTTACACCAAAAAGTACGCTCCATTTCTTCCACTTTCGTATCTCTTCTGTAATGTTCTAACAAAGAAGGAAACTATTTTTGAATAAGAAAGTCAAAACTCTTTGATTTCTGCTTTCCTTTATACTGAAATAATGTAAAAAACCACTTAAATAATGTAATGTGGTGCACACAGAATAGATTTAGGTTTAAAAAAGGGTACAGAAAACCATGAACCAGGTTCCCAAATTTTTTTGCTTTTACAAAATAATCAAAAACAGTAGTGGGATTACTTCACAAAAGTAAATCAGGCAATATCATGTCAGGAGCCACTGAACAAGCTGTGCAAAGAAGAAACATAGAGACTGAAAAAGAAACAGAAAATTTCAGATTTTCTGTTTTGTTTACTCTCCTGTGACCCTCACAAGGTCCAAACTACTGCAGAGTTCAACTTGTCTTTTGAAAGTTGGTTGTATCAGTGAAGGAAATTAGGTTTTGCATCCTGGGCATCAGGAGTATTTTTGGGGCACTATCTCCCAGCTCCGCTATCTCAGGTCTCTATTTCCCTTCAGTCTACTGGCAGGGGCTGAAAAATATGACTGGGCAGGAAAGAGAGAGACTTAGGGAGTCTTTCAAGCTTCAAAAACAAAATGTAAGGGAAGGAAAGTGTCAGTAAGCCCAACGGGCAGGGAAAGGTCACCTACAGCTGAAGATTAAGAGAGCTGATTATCTCCATGTCTAAATTCAGCCATATTTATTTTGTCTGCTTTCAGATCTAATTCACCTCAACTTGTAAGCTAAAGAAGATCCATTCTCAGCTTTCTCTCCCCTAAAAATAGTTGTTGTAAATCTAGTGATTAATGACTGCACCAGGTATTTTCAATATAATCCTTATTGTCTAAAGAAAATGGACAAACTCCTGTTTCCCACCATGCAAAGACGGCACCGTCATGCCAGCTCCAAACCTATGTCCTACCAAACCTTTAGTCTTCACTCTTAGCTTTTCTCAAAGGCAAGTGCTTGTGCTGAATGTATCCCTTGCTTTTCTGTTGCTGTTTATTATCAATTTTTCCTCTCATTCTTTTCTCCTTCTCTTTCACAGACGGTCAAACTACCCGCAACAGAAGGTAATTGCTGTAGGTGATAAAGGAATATCATTAACTACAAAACACCTGCTTACTCCTGTCTTTGTTTTGAGCTGTATTGCATGCTTGGTGTAGGAGTATTGTTTTAACCACCTTCCCAGAGGAAATGGCAATGAAGTTTAGCTTAACACATGAACTACATCCTTATCTCAGTTTCAGTTTTCATCCCAACAAAGTCTAAAATGCTAACACTGAAAAAAAGGAGAGGAGAGACAAAAGCAAAAGTAATTAACTGGTTGGAGGCAATGACATTTTAACTATTGTGGGTAAGTGATGATTTTTACATCAACCTAAAACAATTTTACTAACATTCTGAGATTTTTTTTTTGCTCAGCCTCATTGCAGAAATTCAAAGGAGATGGCTTTGGGATTTGTCTTTTTTATCTTTTAAGAAATATTAATGTTCTTGTTGAAATACTTTTCATTACAGACAGTAGTGGTAATGTTATTTAATTACAAAGAATATTAAAAAAGTATAAAATCTGTTTTTCTCAGTCACCACAAGCATGAAATAATGCTAGAGGGGATTTTTTTGTTCATACTTTTTCATGGCAGTACCTAGCCCCAAACCCTCTCTCTTTCGAGTCCTTTTGTGAGCTCTTGGATTTCCTGCTTTACTTCCTGATGTTTCCTCTTTCTTCTCTGCTTTTCTTTGCAGATGTACAACCCTCTGCAAAACAATAGGCAAAGAAATCCTTTTGACCACACGTGCCTTTGCTTTGGATGGTTACATGGACCTGGTTTTGGAATGGGGCTGGTGTTAGTTCCACTATTCAGTTGACAAGGCTTAACTGTTTCTTATAATTGTCTGAACTGAGGATGTGGTTACTTCCCCAGCTTTCAGAAGGTTTAGTCCCATCCAGAACAGCTCAGGCTAAAAAAAATCTAGACAGCAAAGCTGTTATAATGCACTAATATTCATCATCAACTGTTTGATTCACAGCCTCGTCAGTAAATATGAGCTCAGAAGAGCAGGCAACTAAATATATTTAAAGTTGCAGCCATGCAGGTCAATATGAAAATCACAAGACAAAGTTGTTGAAAAGTCTGAGTTACAGCAAAAACCTTTCCCCTGAGCACCCTGCCAGCACTGTGCATTGCTGTCCAGAATCTCTCTCCCAGACCTAAACAATAACCTCAGAAAATAAAGCTGTTTGTTAGTGATGACAATGAAAACCTTTAATTTTACTGCTTATTTGTATTTGATATAAAGCATAAGATTTTTCATATTCCTATGTACATGTATAGCATAGTTATATGGAATATTCCTCAGGAGAATGTATAATCAATTGCATTAAAAATGAGGAAACCTTCTTCTGGCCTCAAAAACTCAGGGATAGTACTAAAAGAGAGTGCTTTATAACATATCTCCAACAATGTATTAAAACAAATTAAGCCAAACCTTTTTCAGTTTAGTCATCCTAAAATTACTGAATGTCATATCCATAGCACAAATACAATGACATCTTTGAGCCCAGAGCAAACAAGACTCTACATGTTGTTACACTCCTGGAATTGAAATGTTTCAATTTTATTTACCAGTGAGGTGCTGAAGGCCTTATAAAAAGAGGGATTCAATTAGGACAACTATTTCTGCATCGTTTATGTGCAGAATTGTTTTCTAAGAACCAAACATTTGCAAGGAGATCAGCATGCCACTCTGCCAAAAAGGTCTTTATAGGAATTGCTGTGATCTGTCTTATCAAAACAATAATCTCTGCACAGTAGGACCTTATTGACAGCTCTTCTTTTTTCCCTTTTGGAATGTAAACTATTTTTATTGGTAATAAATATAGCATTTAGAAAGAAGTATCTTTTACCAGGAAAATACACCAACAAAGAAAAAAACAAGTGAAACAACATATGGTGGGATGAAATGCATCAACTCCCACTAATTAGAATCCATTTTGTTAGAATATTCTGTGTGATATCAGTCATTTAGCATTGCATAATGTGAGCTGTATCTGACATGATTTACAAACAAGCTACCAACAAGCCCTTCAGACTTCACAAGCGAGAGACTGATGTTGGAGTTTGGGCTTCAGGCTTTGCCACAGTGACCCAAGCACAGGAGGAGCAGCCTGGGCTTTGCCCCAGCTCTGCATGCTGGTGTGGTGGTCTGGGGGCAAAAGGGATCCATCTCCACATTGCACTGTGTTTTCCTGACTCTAGGATGCAAGGACTCCTGACCCATCTGTGTCAACATGGAATGGGGCT